CCCGCATAAATGCACATAAATTCCAGAAACATACCAGTAGTAACTTCCTCTAGCCAATCCAAAGGAGCACGATACAACTTTTTAAGGAAACTCTTCCGTTGAGTTAAAAGCATATCCGGAAAATGGCAGTAAAAGACCACACGCGCTTTGCTGAGTTTTAGAACCGGTATGCAAACAGACACTTGATCACAAATGATGACGTCCATTCGCCATGATGAGAAAAAGATAAGATAAATAGCCACATAAATCATTCTTAGGTAAGCCCAAAAAGCATAGAAGCATCCAAAAAAGTGTCTAGGAAGCCAGTCTCCAACACTAGTAACATTTAAGGACCCATTTCTCGTTTCTTCGAAGCAGTGCGATTTATCATGGTGTGAGGTAAAATAGTGAACTTCGTGTCCACGCGATTTCAAGGCTAAACCAGCGTCCACTACAAGACGCTCTGCTCCTCCAATTCCAAGATCAGGATGAATGAATGCCACCCGAACCATTGCAGAGGCTGAGACTAACCTTTCAGACTTACAAAAATAAAAGATTTCCCAAGCTGATTGCAAGATCACTCGAGAGAGGAATTTATGCACGCGAACTTGAGGCTGACCGTGAGGATCTGGGAAAGAAACCAACACAAAATGGCGGCGCACAGATAGTTTTGGTCATCTTCTGCATCATTCGAAAGAATATTGTTTCTCGGCAGTCCTAAATACTTTCCCATAAGATCCTATACTTTTAAATATCTATTGGTAGTTATTACACCCGATAGATTACCAACATGAGTGATGTCCGAGACATTTTGGAGTTAGAGCAAGGCGCTTCTGTTCCAAGCAAAGAAGCTATTGTTGGAGGAAACAAGGTAATGAACGCACCTCAGGTGACGTATAAACGTTTCTGATTGTGGGGATAAATTACTAGTACTTCGTATTATCTTATGCAGTGAAGAATTGCAAGTTATTTAATTCTGCTGTTTGTTTTAGTTTCTCTACAATTACACGTAATTCAGTGATAATTTTATTGATTTTACAGGCAAGAAAGTTAAGAAGGGCAAACGAATCAAGCTTCAAACGTCCAGAGGGAATGCACCGAGAGCTGTATGCTTTGTTGTACAGTGATAGCAGGTTAGAGCCGTGAACAATTCAGTCTACAGACTGTTGTCAAATTTAATATCAGTACACCCAGCTAATCAATTAATTTTAAAACACTACAGTATGTGGTCCTTGGTCCGCGTCTAAAAGTCATAAACTTGAATATCTTACCCGAATCTTCACGTAACAAGGTGAAATACTCGCTGAAGATAGGTTTTATGTTCTTCTCGATAATCCTGAAGTTTCAAGTTCCAGACTTAAATATTTTGCTTGGAGTTCGCGAAAAAAGGCGACCATTTTCGATGGTCCTTGGTCCGCGAAAGTGATCCTTAGTCCACGTCTCAGGTAAGCAGCACGAAAAAAACGTTAAAATTGTTATAGTTTCCACAGGAAAATGTCATTTTCACAAATTTCATGTATTTTTTTTTCATTTCTTGATGCAATTAAGCTTAAGTCTTTTTTCAGAAGATGTTGTGAGTATAAAAGAATCTGCTCTTCTTTCAAAGACTTCAGACAACAGTCTCCTCGAGTCTCCTACACGTGCGTCGCGAGCGGTTTTCAGGGGGGTCGAAAATAATTACCAAAAACTCTGTATGTATTCGAGGTATTAAAAAAAGAGAACTTGTAGACATGTATAGGGACGATTTTCCAAACATTCTTCGAAAACAAGGGCCGTCGCTTTTTATTTTGCAAAGTTTTATTCAACCAGGTCATACGTCGCGGACCAAGGACTGCTAAGCGAAATTTGGTGATATTTTTCAAGAGTCGATAAAACAAAAATTTCAGAGTCTACAGCAATATGCTTCCAACAGCAGAAAAAAGTGGATCTGAAAACCTGTTCTTTAAAAAGGCACGTCTTCCCGTTGCGTTTTATTCATTCGCAGGCTAAGTAAACATGACCATGTAATTTACGGTGCAGCAAAAATCTAAACTTCAAGAAAGACAAATAAACCTACCTGTCAACAAACTTTAATTTCGCGCCTTCACCCACAGCAAGAAAGCCGAAACTTCGTTATATGAAAGAATGCTAACCAGTAAATCACGATATCTTTCATTATTCAACGTATTTTTTGTCTCGACGAAATATTTTATCATTTTCGGAGAAGGCGCGGACCAAGGGCATCGCGGACTTGCGCGGACCAAGGACCACATACTGTAGATGTCGAGTACAACGAACAATGTTAATGGCCACCTTAATACAATCCTAAGTGGCTAATCATTGGGTGATCAATTGGAATAGCTCAAATCGTTTAGGGTAGTCTTATAATCCAAAATGTTGTAATTTGTCAGTTTGGCAGACTTGTTGTAAGTGGGCTTGTTGCAAGTGGATAGCAAATTGCGATTACAAAATTACCATACCAGGTCAGCGTTGTATGATCCCAGTCAATCCAATTTGCACCTGTTTGTATGTGATCAGGTTTGAAAATTAATGATTGTTTATGGAGAGTTACAAGTAAAAACCAGGGGTTTCAAAAATATTTATATTAGGTGGGTAGATTAATTAGAAGGGCCAAAGGCCCTTCATTTGTAGGGGGGTCTGGGGACATCCTCCCCTGGAAAATTTTTAACTTTAGCACTCTTGGAGATGCATTTTGCTTTATTCTGGAGCAAAATTTGAGGCTTCTCTCCATTTTATTTAAAACAGTGATCTATTTTCAAAAAATCTTAAACAAAAATTAGCATGAATGCCTGGACTGACCTGTATTTTATTTTTCAATCAACGCATTTTTTGTCAGACAAAATGTGTACTCTAAATATTGTTTATTTCTGCTGCAAAATTGTGCTTTTCAATAAGTAACTGACAGTTATTTTTACAGCTTAACAAATGGCAAACAGTTTTCACAAGTAGAGTTCAGTTGTCTTTTTCATCTTTACTTTCAAAAGATGAATCATCTGAATCATGATCGCAATATTAGCGTGCAAAAAATAGGAAATTGATTTACAAAGTCTAGTCGTACAAAAATACTCTTTTCTTTCTTCTGTAACTAACCTTCTAAAGGATTGATCTGCTTTGATTTCTTTTGTTGAGGTTCATGACCAAAATGTGCAAGTAAGGAACGCAATTGCCTTTTGTACTCCATTACTATTCATGAGCTTAAACCCAGTCTCGCTTGATCACAAGTAGGGTATGGGCCTGGCACATTTTGTTCTGTTTGATTGTTATGTTTTTCGACTTTTTTTATTCGCATAGTGTTATTACTTTAACTCACATTTACACCTCAGATGGGCAGGACTACATTTTAAACCTTTTAATTACTTTTATATTTCGAGATTGTGGGGTTTTCCTTCATGAAATGACTTTTAAGTAGTGATGACCTTTATCAGGCACTTTATCATCCTCCATCACACGATCTTCAGGCAGGTATTCAGTTTGTCACAGGCGGGTAGTTCTACCCGCTAACCGGCCATTATTGAAACCCCCTGAAAACAGTTCGACAAAATTAATGTTGACGTGTTAGTTAAAAAGCGATTGACAGAAGGTATGTTCTCTGTGTAGGGATTCCCCACCCCTTTCGTCAACAGATACAAGTCATGGATATAAACAGATGAAAGCAAAGCTAGGCAGACGACATGTCAGAGCTTGGAAGTGGGTGCCTTTTACCAACCTAGATGGCGCAGTGTTGTATCACTGGAGAAGAGCAGCAGATGAAGGAAAAGATTATCCATTTGCTAGGTTTAACAAGGTAGGGTTGACCTTGACTCAGGGTTTTCAATAAGATTTTAAGTAGGTGGCAAAAGTTTTGGAGTAGGTGGAGAGGGAAAAAACTTCCAGCAAAGGCTTGAGTTTCTGGAAAATTTTTGAAATCTGGGCCTCCTAGAATGCATTTCCAGCATTCTGGGGCAAAAATTAGAGTGTTTGAACAGAACACAGACATCATTAAATTTTGGCTTTTTTATTCAGTGACAGCACATGAATACTTTATTTAAACTGGATTAAAAAGAAAAAAAAGTAGGCGGCAAGTTCATGTAAAATAGCCGGCAAACTTCGCCGGCCACCGGCTCTTATAATTGAAAACCCTGTGACTGCGTGCAATAATGACTGTAATATTACAGTCGACTGTCTGCCTTACAATTGTATCTGCTGAGAGGGAGTAGACTGTTTTATTTTAAAAAAAATGATTATTAGATTGCAATCATCAATCATCAATCTATAAACACTGAGTGAGGGTCAAGTAGGCTGTCTCATAGAAGTTGCCAGCTTATTAATAGAGCTTTGGCGAAAGTTGGTACAAGCAGTGTCAGGGATACTCTGGAAGCAGAGGCCCTTCAATCATCCTGACTTACAGTGCTGTTTCTAGGGAATTCTAGGAAGTGATGTTGGAAGTGATATTTAGATACCGATCAACATTATTTCTTATTACAGAAAGTTAAGTTACAGTTACTATGAACTTTGACATCTGTCTATAGAGCAGAGGATAGCCATAGACATTTGATAATTCTTTTTCTTTTTTTTACAGAAAGTTGATGTTCCAAGTTATACAGATGAAGAATACCAGGTTTGACTCAAACAAACTAGGATTCCCAAAATAGGTTCCTTGTTGCTTGGGTAAATTTCCTTTTCTGGAATAAAAGATGAAAATGTTAATATAAAATGAAACGTGTAAGTGTCTTGAGACTGCCAATTGACATTGTACTTGCAGGTACACCTTTGTCTCACTTGCATTGTGCTTACAATGAACCTACAGCATAAATTCTGTCATAAAGTACCTTCCTCTGTTGTTGGTTTCATTCTGTTGATGCATTAATGTTTAGTCTCATCTAGGCTCATTACTTTAGTTTCATTTACATGTAGCCTCAAAGTTACCCCAAGCCTGTAAACTGTAATATCAGCATGCATATTCTCCATGCCCTATTCTTTTTTTTTTCTTGTGCTGTTGAGGAGAATTTATTCTATGATTAAGATTCTTTTTACTTTGTCATTGTGTCCTCAGAACCATTTTTATTTGATTAATCAGTGAGTTGAAAATGGGACATTAGAGAGATTAAGATTCATGTTTACCGCAAACGTCAATTGTCAGACTCAAGTTGAGAATTTCTCAAAATAGCAAATAAGCAGATAA